GATATTTTAAATAAGTTGGGTAAAACCGAGCAGGCTTTGGAGCAATACGAAAAAGCGCTGGAAGGGGGCTACCGTTCGCAAAGTTTGCTGTCTAAAATCAAGGCGCTGCAATGAAGACAATCGTAAGAACTGTATGCTTATTGCTTGTGGTTTCGGCATGTGGCCCCAAAGAAAATTTGCCGGAGGGCGCTCCATCTTATCTTGAAAAAGCCGAATTTTTAGAAAAGGTAAACCAGGCGCGCTTTAATTTTAAGCGGCTGCGCCTCAGTGGCAAGGGTGTGTTTGAATCAGAGAGTGATCGCCAAAGCTTTCGCTTTGACATTCGCATGCTCAACGACAGCCTGATTTGGGTGAGCATTAGCGATCCGCTGCTGGGAATTGGCATTGCCCGCGGCCTTGTTACCCCAAGTGAGGTGAGTTATTACAACACACTCGACAAGGGCTATTACCAGGGATCTCCGCAGGGCCTGCAAAAAAGCCTGGGATTCAACTTTGCCTTCCAAAACCTCTTTCCGCTGTTGAGCGCCAACGCACCAAAATTTGAGGACCTTACCTTGCGTCACGTGCCGGGTGCCTATCTTATCATGAATTTTGATCCCAGTGGGCAAAAGCCGCCCAGCCCCACCCAGGAGGCATTTAGTGAAGTGTACATTTCACCGGACAGCTTCCGGCCCACCCGGGTAGAAATTAAAGAGCCGGTAAACAGCCGCAGCTACAGCGCCACCTACGGCAGCTATCGCGCGGGCGAGGAAGCCTTGTTTCCCGAAAAAATCACTTTGGCCTATCGGGCCGAAAATTGCGGCAGCATTGAGCTGAATATTAATCGCGTTGAGGTAAACGGAGCCTTTGGCTTCCCTTATTCAATTCCATCAGGCTATGAGCAATACAAGTAAGTTCATACTGTTGCTACTTGCAATGTTTTGCTTGTTTCCCTCGCAGGCACAAGACAACCGCAAGCAAAAACTGGAAGAGCTCAAAGTGCGGCTTATGGATGAGATTGAGCTGGCCAACCGCATTTTGTCTGAAACACAGAAAGACCGGCAAACGTCAATAGGAACCATAGAAACAGTACAACAGAAAATTAAATTGCGCGAAAACCTGATTCGCACCTTAGATCGTGAAATTGAAATTTTAATTGAGGAGGAAGAGGAACTGAAGCGCGAAATGGACACGCTGGGCCGCCAAATAGAAAAACAAAAAGCGGCCTATGCCGAAATGATTCGCCACGCGTATAAAAGTCGCAGTAAAACAAGCCGGCTAATGTTTATCCTTTCGGCTGAAGATTTTAACCAGGCGGTACGCAGGCTGGAGTACCTGAAGCAAATTTCAGAGTTTAGGAAACGGCAGGTGCGCGAAATTGAAGACAGCCAACAAGAGCTGGCCGAAAAATCGGAGCGTTTGCGGGTGCAGAAAGTGCGCAAAGAGGCGCTGCGTGCCCAACTGGACCAGGAGAAAGACCGTCTGAGTGACGAAAAACTTTCACAAGAAGAGGCCATCGCCACCTACAAGAGTATGGAAGCCGATCTGGTGAAAAAACTCAGGCAAAAGCAGGCCGAAGCAAAAAAGATAGAAAACGAAATTCAGCGCATAATAGCCGAGGAAATTCGAAGGGCTAAGGAGGCGGCCGAACGTGACCGTCTGGAGCGGGAGGCCATAGACATTGGCCTGGTTCGCGGCCGCGATTTTACCAGCAATACCGATAAAGCGAGGCTAGAGGACTTAATCAAAGAGAAACGGGCGGCTTTGGCGGCTGCCAATACACCAGCCGCAGAGGCGCCAGCCGAACGCTATGAGCTAACCCCGGCTGCGCGCCAGTTGGCCGCTAACTTTGCCGCCAACCAAAAGCGCTTGCCCTGGCCGGTTGACCGCGGCTTGGTGGTGCAAAAGTTTGGACCACAACGGCATCCCATTGTGCCCAGCGTGGTAATTGATAACAGCGGCATTGATATTGCCACCGAAAGCGGTTCGCAGGTAAAAGCGGTATTTGACGGCAAGGTGGCCAGCATTCCCATTATGCCTGATGGTTACCGCGCCATAATTGTAAACCACGGTGATTATTTCAGCGTGTATCAAAATGTTACCAACGTGAAAGTGGTGGCGGGGCAGGAAATATCAAAGGGCCAGGTAATAGCCGAAATTGTGAAAAATCCGGTTACCAATGAAAGCCGTCTGCACTTTGAAATTTGGAAGAATAACGCCACGGTTGATCCCCTGGGCTGGCTAGCGGCAAAATAAGGCCATGGAGAAAAAATTGCTCTTTTTGCACATACCCAAAACGGCCGGAACATCGGTGGTGCGATTAATTGAAAGAAATTATCCCCAGGAGGCTTGCCAGAGCCTTTACAATCAAGAAACATTTGAAGATAACCTGCGGGCCGGTTTGAAAAACCCGAAAGTAAAAGCACTTTATGGCCATTTTTTCTTTCAGCCAATTTTCCGTGACCTTAAAGAGGAGCTGTACTTGTTTACCTTTTTGCGGCAGCCGCAAAGCTGGCAGGTGAGTAATTATCTGCACATCAAATATTCTTCAGACCCTTACCACCAAGCATGGCGGGCCCAATGGAACTCCTTTTCAGATTATCTTGACGACAAACAGGCAAACAACAGGCAAACGCGAATGCTCTCGGGTACATTGGCCTATAAACACTTTGCAGCTGACTTACCCGCGGCTCTGGCCCGAGCTAAGGAAAACTTACAATTAATGCAAGCGGTTGGCTTTTCAGAGAAATTCGGAGCCAGCATCAAAAAAATTTCGACCGACCTGGGCTGGAAGCAGCACAGCGGCTTGCGTGAAAACGTCAATAATCACCGGCTGGAAGCTCGCTATCTATCGCTCCGGTATCGGAAAAAGCTGGAGCGGGTATGCTATTATGATCAGCAATTGTACAACTATGCCCGGGAAAAGTTTGGCAACGCTTAGTTATTTCGCGCAAAGCTCTTGCCTAGCTTTGGAATAAACCGACCCGTACGGGCCTTATATTTCTCGTATTGCGGAAAGCGCTTATCGAGTTGCCGCTCTTCGTACTGCGATTTAAAAAAGAACAGCAATAGCAATGCCGCGGCAATCAATAGTTGGTAAAGATTCTCACCGCGCAATGCCCATCCGGCAAATAGCAGAAACAGACCCGTATAGATGGGGTGACGCACCTGGCTGAAGATACCGGAGGTTACCAGGTGGCTCTTTGTTTTTGGGGTAGGAAAGGGCGTAAGGTTGGTGCGCAAATGCATAAAACCCAATACCACCACTACCAGGCCCATGCCCATTAAAAAGCTGTTTAAATAATACAGACCGGGCAGGGGCAACTCAAACCGCCAGCTTACGGGAACAAAAAAAGCCCCAATTAACAGGGCTTGTAATAAAACAAAGGTGTAATCTTTCCAGGTCTTTTTCATCGCTTAGTCCAGGTCTTCATCTTCGGCCTCAATATCATCGGCATTTGCGGCATGAAGGGTTTCGTCAACCGCTTCGTTGCTGTCGTCATCATCGTCCAGGAAAGCGTCAATTTTGGCGTCCATTTGCACGCTAACCTTTACCAGGTACTTGGTATCGGCCGTTTCAAAAGGCACCGCGCGAAACATTTCTCCCTTGCTGTTCTTAAATTTTATAATGTCTTCATCCTCATAACCGTAAGGGTAACGTTCGGTGAAGAGTTCCAGAATTTCTGGGGTAATGTTTTTGTAATCTACAATTACGTTGCGTTTTCCGTTTGATGTTCCCTTAGACATGCGAGCGTTTTTTCAAAATGTTGTTTTAAAAGTAAATAAAAATAAGAACCGTGCAAAAGGCATTCACTTTCTGAATGTTAGGTCCTCCCCCAGCTGCTGTTCAATTCGCACCAAATATAATTGCAGAAAAAGCAAACGAGCAATAAATTTTGATGGCGAGCGCACAAAATAAATTGTCGCGAACGGCTGCTTGGAAAGAGCAAAAATTGGCGGGGTGCGATCTATTAAAATATGGGGAAATCCAAGGGGCGGTCGCGCATCCAGCCGGTAATGCTGTATCGGTTCACCGCGGTGGAAAGTACCTCGTGCATCACGGTATCGCTTCTAAAAATAGCCAGGTTGCCGGCCAGTGGGGCCAGGTCGGTTATGCCTTCCGGCAGATGAAGTCTCAGCGATCCGCCATGCTTGGGCACCCAATCGGGGTTCAGGTATAGGGCAAAGCTCAATTTTCGCTGGCGCGACCCATGAAACTGATCCAGGTGTTTTTCATAAAAAGTGCCCGGAGGATAAAGTGCAAAATGGCATTCAAAATCTTTCATGCTGAGGTAGAGCAGTTGGTTTAGCTCTGCCATCAGGCCTTCCATAATTTCGATGAAACGCACAGTAGCGGGGCCGCTTCGGCAGGGTTTACCCACTTTATCCAATCGCCTCTAATTTCTTTGGCTACCTGAAAGGTGGCAGCCGTGCCTATGCCGGCCTTTTTGAAATTATCCTGCTGGCGATGCCTGTCTATAACCTGCCGTAAGGCTTGCACATCGGCTGGAGCCAGAAACTGCTCACACAAACAGTATGCATTCGCGGCCAACGCATCGGCTATTTGGCTCGCAGAATAGTTTGCCTGCATTTAAATTACCCCGAGCTCCTGGCCTACTTTTTTAAAGGCGGCAATGGCCTTGTCTAATTGTTCGCGGCTGTGAGCAGCGCTGAGTTGCACGCGAATGCGCGCCTGTTCTTTGGGCACTACCGGGTAAAAGAAGCCAATTACGTAAATGCCTTCCTCCAGCAATCGGTCGGCAAATTTTTGTGAAAGAGCGGCATCGTACACCATAATGGGTACAATTGCCGAATCGCCATCCTTGATGTCAAAGCCGGCACTGTTAATATTCTTCTTAAAGTACGCTACGTTGTCCATCAACTTATCGCGCAATTCGGTGGTGTTGCTCAATAGTTCAAAGACTTTAATGGACGCTCCCACAATGCTGGGGGCTAAGGAGTTGGAAAACAGGTAAGGGCGAGAGCGCTGGCGCAGCATTTCTATAATTTCTTTACGGCCGGTGGTAAATCCGCCCATTGCGCCACCCAGGGCCTTGCCCAGGGTGCCGGTAATTATATCAACCCGGCCCAAAACGTTTTTCAATTCGGGAGTGCCTCTTCCGGTTTTTCCGATAAAGCCATGGGCGTGGCAATCGTCAACCATTACCAGGGCATCGTATTTATCGGCCAAATCGCATATTTTATCCAATTGTGCAACGTAGCCGTCCATAGAAAATACGCCATCGGTTACAATCACGCGAAAGCGCGAGCTGCTTTGTGCTTCTTTGAGCTTGGCCTCCAGGTCGGCCATATTGTTGTTTTCATAGCGAAAACGTTGCGCTTTGCAAAGGCGCACGCCATCAATAATGGAGGCGTGGTTGAGTGAATCGGAAATGATGGCGTCTTCTTTGGTGAGCAGCGGCTCAAAAATGCCACCGTTGGCATCAAAGGCGGCAGCATAAAGTATGGTGTCTTCCGTGCCGCAAAATTGTGCGATTTTCTGCTCCAGGGTTTTGTGAATGTCTTGGGTGCCGCAAATAAATCGCACAGACGACATGCCAAAACCGTGGGTGTCAAGCGCTTCTTTGGCCGCCTGTACCACTTCGGGGTGCGAGGAAAGCCCCAGGTAATTGTTTGAACAAAAGTTGAGTACCTTTTTGCCGTTCACATCAATTTCAGCGCCCTGTTCGCCTTCAATGATGCGCTCGGTTTTGTAAAGACCTTCTGCTTTTATGTTTTTGATTTCTTCCTGTAAGTGTTCTTGCAACTTGCCGTACATCCCGTTTTCTGTTATTGTTTGCATCGCAAAGATAGAAAGCAAGATGGAAGCGCGGGACTTTGTGTAAAATCATTCACCTACAGCCAATACCTTGCCTAATCCGGTTTGTTTCGGGACAAATTATTATCACAGTAACAGTCTGTGTTACTCAATTTTATATTTTAGATGACAAGGAACAAAAGGAACGTACGTATCAGGGATTAACCAAACCGTGGAAGCTTCAGCTTCTGCTGCTCGCAATTGTATTGTCGGCCGGTGCCCTTCAGGCGCAGCACTCCGCAGCCCGGCAGTGGAACGAAGCACTACTGCACGCCATTCGAAACGACTTCGCCCGGCCCACCGTACACGCCAGAAACTTATTTCACACCAGCGTAGCCATGTATGAGGCCTGGGCTTCTTATTCGGCTGCGGCCGACCACTATTTTTTGGGCGACTCGCTTGGATCTTATTATTGTACTTTTAACGATACGGCTCTCGCCATTCCCGCCAATAGAAAGGCGGCCCAGGAAGAGGCCCTTAGTTATGCGGCCTACCGGATATTAAAAGACCGCTTTGCCAATTCGCCCGGAGCAGTTAGCTCCCAGGCTTATTTTGACAGCCTTTTTACCGCGCTGGGCTACGATGCCACCATTACCGGAGTAAATTACGCGCAAGGCGGAGCGGCTGAGCTGGGAAATTACATCGCCCAGGAAATATTGGCTTTTGGTTTAACCGATAATTCCAACGAGCAAAACGACTATGCGAACCAGTTTTACAGCCCGGTAAATCAAACGCTTTTGCCGGTGGTTCCCGGAAACCCAAACATTACCGACCCCAATCGGTGGCAACCCTTAACCCTACAAACCTTTATTGACCAAAGCGGAAACGTTATCCCCATTGCCACACCGGCTTTTTTAAGTCCGGAGTGGGGCAGCGTGGTGCCCTTTGCCCTTAGCGATTCGGTTAAAACGCTTCATACCCGCAATGGCAACACCTATCCCACTTTTTACAACTTACCGGCTCCACCTTACATGGATACTTTGAATCCCATAAACTCGGAAGCTTATAAGTGGGGCTTTCGCATGGTGAGCAAATGGAGTAGCCATTTAGACACAGCCGATGGCGTGGTGTGGGACATCTCACCCGCCAGCACCGGAAACGTTAGTTGGTTGCCCAGTACCATAGACAGCCTGCCTCATTTTTATGACGAAGACGATGGCCACGATTTTGGCAACGGGTATAGCCAAAACCCGGCCACCGGGCAGCCCTATCAGCCGCAAATGGTGAAGCGGGGCGATTATGTCCGCGTACTGGCCGAATTTTGGGCCGATGGTCCCGATTCGGAAACTCCGCCCGGGCACTGGTTTACCATTTTGAATTACGTGAACGATCAACCGCAACTGCAACGAAAGTGGGCGGGTAAGGGCCCGGTACTCGACCCACTGGAGTGGGACGTGAAATGTTATTTTACTTTGGCAGGGGCCATGCACGATGCAGCCGTAGCGGCCTGGGGCGCCAAGGGCTGGTATGACTATTTGCGGCCTATCTCTGCCCTTCGCTATATGGCCGATTTGGGTCAGAGCTCAGACTCCACTTTGCCCAGTTACCACCCCAATGGCATAGAGCTCGATTCGGGCTTTGTAGAGCTGGTTGATTCTACCGATGCCCTGGCCGATAGCAATTATGCCAACGTGGGTAAAATTAAGGTGTACGCCTGGCGTGGCCCTGATTCTATTGCCGATCCGGCCACAGACATGGCGGGGGTGGGTTGGATCCTGGCCGAAAACTGGTGGCCCTATCAACGCCCTTCCTTTGTTACTCCGCCCTTTGCGGGATATGTTTCCGGGCATTCCACCTTTTCGCGCGCTGCCGCGGAGGTTTTGACACACATCACGGATGACCCTTATTTCCCGGGCGGCATGGGCGAATTTTTGGCCGAGAAAAACAAATTCCTGGTTTTTGAGGAAGGCCCCAGCACCGATGTGAGGCTACAGTGGGCCACTTATCGCGATGCATCTGATCAGTGCAGCTTATCGCGGATTTGGGGAGGCATTCATCCGCCCGCAGACGATATTCCCGGCCGGCTGATGGGCGAAAAAATTGGCGTTAAGGCCTTTTGGTTTGCCAATGAATATTGGGACAACGGGCGGCCCGACCTCGTGAGTTTGGCCGTTTCAGATTCCTTGATTACCGACCAAACCGGAACCACCTGGTGGGTACAACTTGGCTTTGACCTGCCTATGGATACCGCTGCCGCTCCTCAGGTATCGTTCCCGGTAGAGGATCCTTCTCCAACCTTAAGCTTTAATGGGGCGGCCAGCCGTTGGCTCTCGGCTTATGAATATCAGGCCGTTTTCAGCGTGGCCGATTCCAATCAAACCTTGGCTGATATCGATGTGCAAATAAGCGGAGCGGTAGATTCAAACAACGTGGGGGCGCCATCATTCCATGCGGTTGACCTGTTTAGTATTGATACGGAAAACCCGCTGGTTACTATCACTCCCAGCACGGCTTTAATCAATGATTCGGTGGCCCGGGCCGCAAACTTTTTCCTGCAATTGAAATTTTCAGAACCGGTGGATACCCTGAATCAGCCACAATTGCAATTTCCGGCCATGAACCCTACGCAATTGAGTTTGCAAATAGACAGTGCCCGCTGCGGTTGGCAAGATTCGGCTACTTACACGTTCTACTACCAAACCGTTGATGCCGATGAAGAACTTTACAATATTCAGATTCAGTTGCATAATGTGTTGGATTTACAGGGAAATACTCACGATTCAACAGCGGTTTTTCAGGTGTTTGACCTTGATACCAAGAACCCGGACTATACCGCCCTGCCGCAGTCAGACACCATTAAGTTGGGGCATGCCGGAACCGCAGGGTTTTCTATAGTGGTTGATTTTTCTGAAAGTTTGGATACTGCCTTCCATCCCCAGCTTATTTTTCCCGTAGAAGACCCCAGCAAGACCCTTACTTTAAACCACCAGCAAAGTAGGTGGCAAAGCCCAATTAAATATCGGTTTGTTTTTGATGTGGATACCGCCACCAACCAGCTCAATGACATAGACTTTAAGGTAGACTCCACCTATGACTTAGCCGGTAACCTGCAAATGGTTAAGGCCTACGCCAATGCTTTTCATATTGATATTTCCAATGCGCAAATAAGCCTTTCAGATTTTCCCAGCCAGGCCTTAGCCGTTTTTCCCAATCCGCTTAAAGCGGGACAAAACCTGAGCTTGGAGAACATTCCACCTTCGGCCGAAAGGCTAAGGATTTTTAACGCACAAGGCGCATTGGTGCGTGAAATTGGGCTGGAGGCAGACAGAAAGCAAGAAATTTCTACCGCAGGCCTGAAGCCTGGTTTTTACCATTTGGTTTTTGCGGGTGAAAACAGGGCATTTACCATCATAATTTTAGATTCATGATTTGGCGCGGGCACCTTTTTGGGGTAATAACTTTATTGCTGAGCCTGAACACAAGCGCTCAAACTTATTCCAATGTGGCTAATCAGCTTAATGTGAATGTAGGCCAAAGCTACCCATCGGCCATGAGTGCGGGAGTGAGTTGCGTAGACTTTAACGATGATGGCCTGGATGATATTACCGTGGCTTCTCCTTATTTCGACTCTTTGGTTTTTTTCGAAAACACGGGCAACGGCTTTAGGCATATTTCGGCTTTGGTTACCCACACCAGCTACTCGGTACACCCGATTTGGGTAGATTATGACAACGATGGCGACAAAGACTTATACGTGAGTAGCATTGATGTTGAATGCCGCTTGTACCGCAATGATAGTTCTCTGGGTTTTACCAATGTTACGCAAGCGGCCGGACTAATGGCCCCCGTAAAAGATTGTTATGGGGCCAGTTGGGGAGATTTTAATCGTGATGGCTACCTGGATCTTTATCAAAGTGTAAGAAGTGGCTTTAACCGCATGTATTTGAATGATGGGCAGGGAGGATTTGTTGATGTTTCAACTAATTCCAACACCTGCAGCTATGATCGCTTTGCCTTTTCACCCGTGTTTGCCGATTTTGATAAAGACGGGCTGATTGATTTATTTATTGGGAATGATAAATTAACCGTTCCTGAACTGTACTTAAACGATGGCGACAGCACTTTTACGGAGTACACCGTAGCCGCCAATTTAAACGTATCAATTGACGCCATGACCGGTAGCTGTGGCGATTTTGACAACGATGGCCGGCTGGACATTTTTGTGACAAACTCTCTGCCCTATGACAATTACCTATTCCGGAACAATGGCGATACCACATTCACCGAAGTGGCAGACTCCCTGGGGGTTGATCCCATACAGCAAACATGGGCGGCCAGCTTTTTTGACTACAATAATGATGGCTGGAAAGACCTTTTTCTCAGTGAAAAACACGTAGGCTCAAACCTCAGCCCCAGCCAGTCGCTCTATGAAAATACCGGCAGCGGTTTTATTCAACCCAACGCAGGTTTTGCAGGCGATACTTTGCGCAGCTTTAGTCATTCACTTGGAGATTTTAACAATGATGGATATTATGATATTGTTTCCCCCAACCAGTACCAAGACAGTTTGCAATTGTGGCAAAGCAGTGGCGGCAGCAATAATTACATCAAAGTTTTACTGGAGGGAACTGTATCCAACCGCGATGCCATAGGAAGTTGGATTATTGCGCACACCGACAGCCTGCAGCAAACCTATTATACCGTTTGCGGAGATGGCTTTATGAGCCAAAGCAGCAACACCAAAATTATTGGCCTGGCGGCCGATACCATTGTTGACTCACTGGAAATAGTTTGGCCGAGCGGCTTGCGCGAAACTTACTATGATCTTCCCGCAGGAAGTACTCAAAAATTAAAAGAAGGGGGCAGCTTAGCCGCGCATTTAAACTATTCGGGAGACACTACTTTTTGTGCGGGCGACAGTTTTCACATTACTCTTGAAGCCGGAACCTACAGCCAATACCTTTGGAGTTCCGGCAGTACAGATTCTGTTTTAAACCTCGCTTCTCCCGGGTTTTATTTTGCAGATGTATGGAATGAATACGGCA